CAACTCGGCCCGCCAGGTTGAAACCATCCCGACCACACCGGAGGCCCGTGGTGCCCAGCTCTGCCCTGAATGAAAGGGGCTTATGTCTGGGAAGGGGCACAATCGGAGCAAATGAGCGACTATCTCTGGACCAAGTATGCCCTTCGCTTCCCCTCAGCCGTTCAGTGACGCAACACCTCCCTACGCTAACTGCCTTTGAGTTCAAGGCTGCGAGTTCTGTCATGAGCTAGCCCCTTGAAATCCACTGGCCAAGACTGAGCGAAGCTGCACACAGCAGCCTCTCTCCGGAGAAACTACTCTCCTTCACCTGACAGAACTCACGCGCCCCTGCTTCTGATAACCTCTCAGCTTCCTCGACTTTCTACCACTTTGCCAGGTGTCTCCCCTACCCCATCCCACTCCACTTATGACACAGACGTCTCCTCTAAAGCATCTCTGACCACCTGAGGGGCAGCCTGGTTATGAGGACAACTGCCCTGAAGCCAGGAGAAGCAAGTCCCAGCTCCAGCAACTCTGGATGAGACCTTGACCCTTCTGAGTTTCCTCAGTTATTGAATGGGGATATTATCTCTCCCATCTCTCTCTCAGGGCTGTGGTGGGGCTCAAATGAGACAGCGTAAAATACTCTGTAAACTGTGAACTTTTGTGGTCGTTATTATCTAGCCTCTAGGCATGTCCAAGCACTAGATTATCACTCTGTTAGAAAGCAGCTAATTCCGTCACTAGACCGCTATGCGATGAGAATCCAACTCCAACTCTGCACTCACATCTGACCTGTCATGCCTCCCATCTACTGACCTTAGGCCATCAACCAGACCAACTAAAATGAGTCATGCCTCCCACCACTCCCCACTACAGGACAGTTCTTTATATGGCCGAAGACATGCAGCAGATGTGCAGCTAGTCTCTCCTAACTAATACCTTACAGTTTTTCCCACCAGTCCTTGGCTGCCAGGGCTTCAAACCCCCTCACCACTCTGGCCCCTCTGCCCTCCGGGTGATGGTTGCTTTATCTGCACCAAACACCTCAAGGCCCTCAGAACAGAACTCCGCACCCGGGAGGGCTTGGCTAATACTGCCCACAGCCTGCACACACTTCTCGGGACACAGTTTAAGATTATGCTAACACTGAAGCAGCTCTGTTGGCACCTAATGAAATGGCGATCACTGAAATTCTCCACTCCCAGATCTCGCACGTGAAGCTGTGTACGTCCAGGCGTCGGGCAGGGATGTGAAGGAACCGCAGGACTTTACACTTTGATTTCACACCACAGGTTTGGGTCAGTGTTCTCACCTGCTAAGATAATCTGAAATCAGTCCACCCCATTTAAAACAATGCGTAAGCATTCTTTCTACATCGTCATTCACGTCATATGCAAAAACCAAAAAACAAAACAAGAAAACTGAGAACTGTAGACTTCCTTGAGAGCTGCACTGACCAGTATGGCAGGCGTAGCCCCATGTGGCTTGAAATGTGCCTGCTTCAAACGGAGATGTGTTCTAAGTGCCAGCACACACTGGATTTCAAAGACTTAGTATCAAAAAGAACGTAAAATATTCCAATGATTTTTTTTATACTGATTATATGTTGAAATAATACTTCGGACATATTAAGATATATTGAGTTAAATAGAATAGATTATAAAGTTAATTAATGTCACCTGTTCCTTTTTACTTTTTTTAATGTGGTACCAGAAACTGGGAAATGATGCAGCTTACATTATATTCCAATAGGACGGCAAACTGCTCTAGAAATCTTTCTCCCAGACAACATCATCACTCAGCAGTCTTTCTTTCAATATGGTTAATCTGTTCTGAACTGTCTTTCTGGTCTCCTAATTCACATTTCACAATCTAATCCACGAAAATATTCTGGGGAAGTTTTGCCAAATGCTTTGAATCCATATATTTCCTTATCACAGCAACCTTCTTGAAGAAAGAGACACAGACACACGCATTGACTTCTGGCCCACTGGTGAGCCCAGCAGGCACCCCACCATGGCCTCGGAAGGTCACCACTTCCCTGTTGTACCCCTATTCAAAGGGCAATTGCTGTAGATACTGATCACCGCTCGAGTCAGGGAATGAACATAAGACAAGCACAGGACATTCTCACTGTGCAGGAGCGGAGGGGCCCAGCACTGAAGTATCTGGATTTAATTTGGATTTTGAGACCAGAATAAGAAATCAATAAATGTTTGCTAAACGCATGGGTGAATGAACAACTTGCTTGTGGTGTCAGAGCCTTTATTTAGGATTACTATTCAGATGACCACTCACGTCCAGGCCTTGATTCGCCCCTGGATGACAGGGCGCCTCCAGAAGAGCACGGGCTGTAGAGTCGGTAGAACCTAAAACTGCAGCGTGGCTTTGTCTCCTGCCAATTCTGTGACCTGGGCTGTGTCACTTGACTTCTCAGCTTGCTCCTTTAACACTACACACTGCTCTAGGCTTTGTCAGATTAAGACAATTACAAAAGAACTGCTAGGCCGTGCTGCCACACCTAGTTCATGCTTCTTCCTGTCTCCAGGCCATCCTCCCCCACCATGTCCCAGGCCATCCATGGGTGGCACACGGGGTGGAGCATGTGCTTGACAGGAGGTGCTCCTTTGTCCTGTCACCAGTAACTGGCTGCCCTGGCCACTTATTTTCTTAAGTCTTTAGCAAATGCCTTTGAACCTCATGGTTCAAGGGAGGGGGTCAGGTTTCAGTATCTGATCACTGCCGGAGGCCGTGCTCCGACACCTTTTTTTTCTCCTTTTACATTAGCACTTCCCTCCCATTAACAAAAATATTTCCATTGGAAGCTATGAAAAAGCTTGTTCTTTAACCGTTAGTGGAGAGAGAGAGCAGAATGTTCTAGACCTATCCATCACAGCTTTTTTGAAACTGCCCTCCTCCTGAAGCCTGTACCTGCTATAGCTGAGGGCCCAGGATACCCATGTGTACTTTGTAATGAGCCTCTGGATTGGACTGTGGGTCAGCACCAGCCCAGAGAGAAATCATCGTATGGTCAAGGCCAGTCAGATCATCTCACTCCTACAGCAATTTGAACTAAGAGATCCAGAGCCGAAGTAGATGGTTTCAGGCCCTGAGAAGGACAGCCTTGAGAAGTTGGAGACAGGAGCAGTGCCAGGCTAAGCCAGAGCCACAGGCAAGCGGACATGAGGGAACCAAACCGAGAACTGAAACGCACCGAAAGATGCAGAGACAGGAGACCTCATGATCTCTGAGAGAGACAGACAGACAGAGACAGACAGGGGAACAGCTGCCCTGTCTCCCTACTTCCTATAAAGCCTGACTTCCTGCTGGTGGCTCCAGAAGACTCCTCTCCTATTTATTCTCCTGTTTATTCTCGGCCTTCTACTTCATGAGCTTCTACATGTGTAATCAAATAAACTTTGACCAACACACATCTCCATGTGTTCCTCCCAAGCATCATTCTCTCTTCCCCTCATGGCCCTGAGACATCACAAAAACAGACACCAACACCTCCGGAACCTGGGCCAAGGAGGTGTGCTTTGATCAAACATCCTTTGCAAAACAACACAGAAACCTTGCCCACCCCCGATTACTGTTTGTCAATAACGAAGAGTTTATTACAGGTTGGGTACACTTGTCGGAAGCAAAAACCTAACAATGATGAATCAACTACAGGGCCCACCAGTTTAGAAGATGAGCAGGTAAAACAAATACACTGATTATGTACAATTATTAAAAAGAGCAGGGTGGTGGAAAAAAAGGAAAAACTGCCAGCAGCCTTCCAGAAGGTTAGTAACAGAGGATGTCTGTGGAGCACCTCCCCACACAGTCCTGACTGGGCCTCAGGGCGTTTCCTTAGTTGTGTCCGCCCCACTCCAGATGAAAAGCAGCGATGCCAGGGGACCCTGGTGGCTTCTCAGGACAACTGGTTTATCCTGTTCTGCTAGTAGCTGGTTTGCTGAGAAGAAAATGCCTCGGCCCCAGGTGATGCCACATGCGCGCCAAGCCTTTCATGACACAGCCCAAAGGACAGCTTCAGTAGCATTTCCTAATACATACGTGGGAAGAGCTGGGGGGAAACACACACGTCAAGGGAAGAAAGTGGCCTTCCCCTGTGGTCTGTGTACAAATAAATACTCAGTGTTGGCTGAAGTGAGCCAAGCGCCCAAGCTGCAAGGTGGGCTGCTTCTTCAGGCATCTGAAAGCGCTTCTCGAAGTAGGTCCGGAATTAGCGTCCAGTGACCAGATTGTCCTCCTAGGTGCTCATTTCTTTTCTTAGAAAGCCAGTCCTCCAACCCCCATCAGCAGAGGAAGATGCCATGTCACCTCTCACGGGACACCCACAAAGGGACAAACGCAGTTCTAAGTTCTGTGTAAGAAAAAAGGCAGACCTCCGAGTTTACTGAAATAAGGGAGAGGTCTTGGATCGTCCAAAGTGTTTCTATAAAAATGCATTAAATGCTAGGTAAAGTTGCACATTCTCCTGGTGACGCTGCAGAATGTCCATTGAACTGAAAACACAGGTAATTTAAAACGAGCCATTTCAAATGTCTGTCACCAAAGCTGACACTGCACATGACACCTCCAGGATCTGGACGGCAGTGCCCACTGTGTGAAAACAGGCCAAGCCCCAGCCCCGGGCCGCTGGGTCCCGGCAGCCCTCGGAAGATGCCAGCAAACCTGGAGCGGGCGGCGAGAAAGGCTCTTCCGCGCGAGGGCGGCCGGCGAGGCCGGGCAGGAGAGCGGCTCCCGGCGGCGGCGGGGGGCTCAGGCCCGGCGGCCCGTCAGTCCCGGTGGCGGCGCCAGGTCCCTGCCCGCTCACAGCCGGTGGCAGCAGGAGGGCGGGGGGAGGTGGGAGATTCCGGAGGGGTGGGGGCCAGGGCGGCCGCCCCGGCCGCAGGGGGCTCGGGGGCGGAGGGCGGGACCGGAGAGGCGGGCTCGGTGCCGGCGCGGCCGCCGTCCTGGCAGAGCTTGCCGCCGAAAATCTGCCCCTCCTTATCTAGAGCCGTGTTCTGGGGAGAGAGAGCGAGACAACGCGTTAGCCGGGCGGGCTCGGGCGCGGGTGCCACGAGCAGAGCGCACCACGGAGCATGCACGGGACTCGGACACAGAAGAGGAGAAATAACCCAAGCTGCTCTGCCATCAGAAGCCTGAGAAACGCCCGCTCGGGGCCCACGCGGGCACCGCCGGCCTCTGCTCCCAGTGCGGGGGGTCAGCGCCCCTGGGCGGCGGCCTGGGGCCTCCCCTCCCGGCTCTGAGCTGCGCCTGAGGTCTGAGGGCCTCTCTTGGTGCCCAGATCTTGAGCCCCAAGGACTCCTGGGACAACAAGCAAAGCCTACGCGAATGCTAGGGCTTTGACAGTTAACTTTTCATGACTTTTTATATGTCATGTAAATAAAAATCTCCTTACAACTCATGGTGGCTGCCTCACCTATAAAAGCCCGAGAATCCGATGGTGCAATATTACCCATTTTTAGATCCTCCACCATCTCACCTGCTCTTCTCTGCCTGTGCATTGTTTTGTTTTTTAATGTTGTCACACCCTCAAAGTTTTTAATCTGCTTATCTCCTCAGGGAGCACAGAAACAGCCACAAAGGGAAGGAAACTGCTTTGCTCTCTGATCCTAGACTGGGAGGTGAGACCTACACTCTCCTCCTGGACTCAGGTTGAGCGTTTCTTGCTTGTCGATGGAACAAGCCGCTGTCATCTCACTGAGTTTTCCAAAAGTGGGGGAGCTTTCAGTTCTCAGGCACCTTTAGCTAAAAGGCACCACGACCAGAAGGCGTTTTGCAACCTAATGATCCTGGGGGAAAATGCACCACCGATTTTTTCAGAACTCGGAATTAAAAAAAAAGAAAAGTAGAAGTCTGGAGAAAATATGAATAAACAACAGGGCTTTCTAAGATAGACTTGTGTGGCTGCCTTCAGGGCACTGGGTGCCAACTGTGAAATACGTGTGCTCCTCAGGCCCTTCCAAGCTCAAGCTGAACAATCTGGTAATTTCCAAGGACAATTTCAATTCCCTGGAGAAGAGGTAATTGTGGAAAAGCCAAATCAGAAACTTAGCATGGCTCTTTAACAAGCTTCCACGCGCCTAGTACAAGGGGGGCCAACCCTCAGCAAAAACACTGAAAAGGGAGAGAGGCAGCATTCACCTTTTTCTACCACAAAATTTCCCCTGGGTAGAAAAAGAAACTAATTCCCCGGTTACTTCTCCTTTTCTCTTCCTGTCAAGAGACCATGAATGTGTGCAGCAGGACAAAGCGTCGCAGTGCAGTTAGTACGTACCATTGCCTTGGACCTAGTCAGAGGGGAGCAATGCAGGCGGCGAGAGAGGCAGGAGAAGGGGGGAGAGAAGCAGGGACAGAAACTAGACTTACTTTAAACGGAAGCAACACGAGTGAAACAGCTTTGTCTATCTTAAATTACGCCCAAATCATTCCCGATTTCCCCCAGAAAGAAGCATAAGCCCCCCACCGAAGCAGGGAAAGCAGTCCATTTGAATCCGTCCTTTCTCAAGTCACCTACGAGATGCAGCGTGAGCAAGGTTTCTTATAATTCTCTTCTCTGCCACAAGATGGCCTCTTCTAGTCCCTGAGGCTGGGATGAGCCCACTGGGATAAACAATGAGCCCGCCCTACAAAGGCACCGTCCTTTCCGAGTATGCCAAGGACAAGTCACAGAAAATGCAAATGCAATCCAAAACCATTGGTCCATCTTAGACCCAAACCTTGTCCAATATAATTCTCTTCTCTTATCCCAAAGGCTAGCTGACTCTACAATGTCTTACTGGGAAAAAAAGCATCTTTGCAAATGTAGTTAGAGAGAGCACAAAAGCCTTCACAGAGGTACCCATCTTATGCTTTTCCACCTACGTGACAAACAGGAACAGCCGTTAGTAGGAGAACTCTCGGAGTCCTCCTGCCGTGCACTCGCCAGCTTTAGATCTGGGAGGGAAGGCAACATGGCAAGCTGAAGTTTTACGGTCAAGTTTTCCAAGGGCGTGCTTGGCTGGCTGAAAAGGATGTCAGTAGGTACAGCAGACCTGCACCGACAAGAAGCTAAGAGCTGGACGCTGGTGTCAGAAGTCTGAGACAAGCATGCAGATTTAAGAGGGGCTGGGAATTAGAAGTTGCTCTGAGTAAGCACAAGGTGTTGAATACCAGAACTCTGCTTCAGGAGTCCCCACAGTCTCAACGGGGTAAAGAGTGAAACTCTGAAGTGTCTCTCAAACTGTCAAATCAAACTGTCAAATAAAATGCAGACAACAGCATCAACTTTACTGTCTTTCACCGTTCTTTACCATTCCTGTCCTATAATTTCCTCACCTGAGCCTCAGGCACCAACTTGGGGGGCTCAGACGGAGAGAACACTGGGGGTGACAGTAGAGAATAAGGTTCTGTCTGTAAGTCACACAAAGTTATCTGTGGATCCCACCTCGGAACCGTTAGACACCATTTCCCCTACTATCTGTATCCGTAGGAAACCATATTAGCCTCACATACTCCAGTTATGAGAACACATAAATACCAGGGAGAGTCATTTGTAATTATTTTTAATATAAAAAAACATTTAAAACTGTTCCCACGGAGGGGACACACAGACACATAGTGCTGGTGAAGAGGATGAGGACGACGACACGGAAGCATTGCAAGCTGCCCCCACACAACCGTGCCCCGGGCCAGGTCCTCAGTTGGGTGAGGATTAGCAGGACAACCCCATGGAGGCCTTCTTGCCACTGCTTTTGGGGACAAGCCAAAATTCACAGGCCGGCCTTTAGGCCATGGAGAATTGGCCCCTCCAGAGAAAGCTGCCTTGATTTCTCCTGTAGGGACTGAAGGCGATGGCCTCAGTCAGCAGCTTCTCAAGCTAACAACCTGCAGAGTTGTGTAGGGAACGCGGGCTTGATGGAACTCTGCCAACATGCTCAAAATGACAACTGAGCACACATGTAAACACACCACTTTTACAATCTCCTTTGGAATGACAAATAACAAAGGTTTGTTCATTCACACAAAATCCAGTGGTCTGAAATTTGACTGATGGACTCCTTCATCAGTCAAGGGAAAAATGCCATTTGTAAACCATATGATTTGGTTCTGTCTGAGGGGTCTAAACGTCATTATCCAGAAAAGAGCCTCTACTGGGCCATAAGGCAGAAGGGCCAGGTCATTCCAGAACCTTGGCAGGCCACAGGCTTTGGGCCTGATTCCTATCTGGGCTCTGAGTCGACAGGTGACCCAGGCAATGAGGGTGACACTCTCATACGCCCTGGGCACAGTCTTGTGAAGGTTCTTCCTCTAGCAGACTATGAAACTTAATATATGGTTATTACATTTTGATTCTAACCAATCACTCTTCTTAAAGTTTTTCATTACATGTCAAGGGTGCCAATTTTTAATGTTTTTATTTTTCCAAATTTTCCCAGAAGCTGCCTTATAACACAGCATGCGGCAAGGCTGCATGCTCCCACCCCATCCATCAGTGCTTGCTCTCATAAGTGAATCACTTGAAAATGTTCTCATGCTGTTGGCTCAGTCAAGATGGTTCTTTTCAAAGTGTTTCAGCTGTAATTCTGTGACAACTCTGACTTTCTCAGGCTTTCAGCAGAGCACCGCTGAAATGCTAGGGAAACCACAACTCAAGAGGCCTTCCCATTATTTTGGCAGAGAGCACCCCAAAGTCCTGCAACATGTCAAAGGACCCAGTTTGCAGGCCTTGTCTGGAGGAGGGGAGAGGGGGAGAGAGCGTGCTTTCCAGCAGGGCAGGAGGGAGGGAGTTGCAGACAAACAGAGGGCTGCCAAATAAATGCAGCCTCCCCTGGGGGCCAGAGGAGAATGACAGGCCAGCGGGTGCTAAGAAGGTGGCAGATGCTCAATAAACACATCACAGCATCCCGTATTCACAAGGTGGGGTGTGTGTGTGGTTTCCCTCAAATGTCTGTGTGGACCCCGCATCTTCTTAGATAAGTTCTAAGATAAGTTCTATTCTAGACTTATCTAGGAATGTGCCATGAGAGTAAGCAGCTATTTTCCTTCCAGTTGGGTAGGAAACAAATTAAACCTTTCCAGAGGGTGAGAGGCTTGTCCTGAGGCAAGAGTAATGGAGATGTGGCAATGGCCCATCATTAGCTGTCAGGCTCCCAGGTGGCCTCATGTGCCACTAAGACCCAATGTGGTCAAAGGTGGCCAAGGCGCTAACAACTCAGGCACCTGTCACCTCAGAAAGTCTGATTCTGAAGCCCCCCTCATTAGCTCTCTGGCTCTGGGAAGGCAACCCCTCGCCTGCTTCCCAATCCTGTGAGTGAGGTGGGCAGAAGGGAGATCACAGCCCGAGACTCCGGCTGCTTTGTGCCCGGGCACCCTAAGGAGGGGAGACACTCAGAGCTGGCTTTATGGCCCCACTTCAGGAAGGACTCAGGCCTGCACTGCTCGTGTTGGGTGTGCTGACTGCACTTCTGGCTCAATTTTATTTTTTCTGTCCTTATTTTCCCTTTTGCTGAACTTACTTTCACGTTACTTCCCTTGCTTTAATGCCACTTTTAAATTGTTGTGTTTATGGACTTAGATAAGGTGCCATAAAAAACATTTTGGAGGAAGAAAGCTCTGAAAAAATATGGGAATCATTATTACTGACTTCTCCTAAAATTTTACCAACCCCAAAAAAACTAGTATTTTTTTTTTTAACATTGTTCTATACTTTTGAATGCCATCAGACACTGATTTTTTTAATGGAATTTAACTTGGCTGTTTCTTATCCCAAGCTCAGAAGAATAATTCATACCTCAAAGAATCTATTTTTGAAGCCGTGAGTAGGCAGGGAGTTACTTCCTCATGCTGTAAATCCCACCTGGGCTTGGGAATCCCTCTCTAGATGAGAAAGCAGAGGGAAGAGCAGCGGCAGCTGCCCCGGAGGGAGGGCGCCGAGCCCAGGGGAAGAGGCCAGGGGCTCCCCAGCATCCAGGCCCATCAGCCTGGCCTTGCTGGTTCCTGCACAACCCCCGTCCTAGGACTCTGGGAGTCGGCCAGATGCGTGCACTGGACGTGCCAAGCCAACCTTAAAGTGAAAAGAGAAACAGGGAAGGAGCCAGCTTCCACGTGAGGGAAGCTCTTGGCTATTGACTTCAAAAGATTCAACGTTGGCTGAGCAGTCAGGCCAGACATGGCAGCTTTCCAACAGCAGAACCATGCCTTCCACTTACCATGATAACAGAGACCCCGGTGGTGGTGCTGTTCTGTTTGGGGAGCGCATTATTAAAGTGCTGTTTTAGTTTACCTGTTACTTCAGCTTGCATATTATTCTCCTGGGAGGCATCATCCTACAGAACAGAAACAAATAGAATGATTTTTGATCCTTACCTCTAAGCTGTCTTTTTCTTAACAATCAGTGAACACACCCCCACGCCCACAATCTCTTCCTAAATGGGCCCATCTTAGCCACAAGGTTAGGGGAACCATGACTTTTTAAAAATAGTTACTGCTAGTCAGCAGTCGCATGTCCTCAGAAAGACCCTAGACCATTCGCTCTGCTCCTTAGATCTCGAGTAGTCCAAGGAGAGAGCACAGATCTCCAGCAGCACAAGGAGACATTCTTCAGGCTTCTGAGATTCTCCCCAAGGCACAAATGCCATATAATGTAGTGTAGAACCCTCCCATGGAAACATCAAAATTAATGAACAGTTTATCATTTCAATCAAGAATTCAGTTAATTGTCTTTATTGCTTATAAAGAAATGTGGCATCTCAGCTACTTGGTCGAGGAGCCAAGTCACTTAGCAGAACCCAGACGTCAGAATGTGTGGGATAGTGGAGGGGCTGGAGATGCACAAGGACCCCTTCTCTGCCCCCAAGTCGGCAAAAGCCCTTGGCTAAGTAAATTAACTTCTCTCTCCTGGAGCTTCCGGGAATGAGGGCAGTGCAAACTCTCCCACCACCGCCATTCAGTGGACCGTGTTTACCCTAATCCCAGAGGCTCCACCTAAGCCCAAAGGAACTCTAGTCAACATCACACCCCTCTGCCCTGCTCTGGAAGGGACTCTGTCTCAGCTCCCCACCCACAGGAGGAGGTCTCCTGTGACCATGTGCCATGAAGACACACAGACCAGAGTCTAAAACATGCTCCTCTCTGGGTAAATCCTAAAAACTCTCAAACCCCAGAACCACGGAAGGAGAAAGCTGAGAGGCTCCTTAGAGAGCATCCCAGCCAACCCCTTCATTTTGCAGATGAGGAAACTGAGGCCCAGACAGGGACCATGACTTGCCCAGGTCACTCACAGAGCAGGATCAAATACTCCAGGATTCTGGTTCCAACTGCTTTCTCCCAAAGAGCTATCTTCATGCTACTCGATGATTAGAGAAGACAGATATTCTATCTGCCACAGAACTTGGATGTGCAGCTTTGCAAGTGCAAAAGCCACCGGGAGGAAGCATGCTATTGGCCACAGAACACACGGATGTTCCTTCCCTGGGAAACTGGATACTTACTGACACCCAGGGGTGACTCAGGATTTGTCCTGCGGTACACCGAGCTTCAACGTTTACCTGAAGCATCTGACTGATTAATTCCTGGAAAGAAATAAAGAAGACCACAGAGGAGATGCGACGGGGTAATTCCAGCAGAAATACAGAAACCTGAGTCTGCAGCAAGAACTTCAAAGAACAGCCAACACAGCTACTCAGCCATTTGAGCTTAAAAGCTATTGTCACCCACACTCCTAGCGCCGATCAGGCAATTATGCAGACACAGCTGCCTCACGTCAGCAGCAGTGTGAGAGAAGAGAAGGTCTCTCCTGAGTCTACATTAAACCAAGATGTTCTCTCCTAAGAGCTCTGCTCATTATCATCATTCCACAGTGTAAAACTGCAGTATCGCTCCTTTCGGCAGTTCAGTATGTCTCACGAGTCCATTCCGATGTTCTGATGGTTGTTCAAAATGTATTTCTTGAGTAAATGAAAGAACAAATGTTTAGGACTTAGAAGAGCACAGGAGGATGGTAGAGGCAAACTGGGAAGACAGCCAGTGCAGTTTTCAGAATTTGGTGAAGAGTTTCAGAGACTATACTATAGAATGAACTTAAAGAACCACCACACATCAAAAGTCAAGGCAAATCTGGAGCTCAGTTCCAAGAGCTGCAACAGCCCCACGCTGAGTGAGGACCCCTCGACAGAATGCAACCCACAGAAACAGGCCTGGAGGAGTACCTTTGCCGAGTCCGTGATGTTATCCCAGTAGGGGGCCGGAAACTCCAGCTTCCCAGCCAAGATCTGGTCGAAGAGATCTTCCTGGAGATTGTTTTCACTAAGTCAGTGACAAAGAAATGGAAGAAGAGTCAAAATCACCATTCAGTTTTTCAACAAAATGCTGAGGAGAAGAGTGAGGAGTCCAGTCTCTTTGGCTTGGGCATTTCATATCTCAGATGTGGATCTCAACTGCATTTGTGATGACATATATTTCCTTTTAGAAAATGACCTAAAGAACATTTCCATACGCCTAGGAATCAGAGAGTGAGGAGACAAAACTCAAGAAATTTGTTTAGTGAGTACAGAGTTTCAGCTGGGGAAGATAAAGTCGTTCTGGAGACGGATGGCGGTGACGGTTGCACAACATTGTGGATGTACTTAACACCAGTGAACTATACATTTAAAAATGGTTAAAACAGTAAATTGCATGTTATGTATATTTTGCCAGAATAAAAAAGGACTCAAGAAAAAAAATGGAATCCACAAATAATCTAAATCCTCATTTCAGGAAAAACAATCTCAGCATCTGCCCTCACTTTAATCTCTCATGGCAATAAGAATGGAAAAGCAGCATATCTGAGTCAGATCTCCTTGCCCTTCCTCTTTCTACTTTTCCAATAGAATAGCCAAAGATCAGTGAGACAGCTAACATATGAAAAAGTCAGAAGGAGTTCAGAATCTGGATAAAACATTCATGACATAATTGGCTCCCATTGGAACTTGACTTTCGTTTAAGCTCAGTTTGAAAGAGCCCATCCAAGGACATCAACTAGAATTGCACAGGTTGAAGCAAACCCACCTCACTGCCCCCAGGTGGGTATCCCTCCCTGACCTGTGCCTAACTGTCCCACCCTCACAGGTACACTCATACACACAGCTGGTGCCTAACAAATAAACGATGACTTGACTTTTGATATAAGGTGCCATGGAAATATGAAAAAACTGCTGGAAAAATTTCAGGAATCTGGACATCCCCAACCTCCCAGAAAACTGCATCTCTACAGCCACAGATCCCCCCTCACTTGGTGGGCACATCCATGGCCAGAGTGAGAATGAAGTCATTAGCTTTCTTGGCCACTACAAAAAGCTCTACTAGAAAACTCAGGATGGGCTGAGGGAGTCAAGATCAAAATCCAGGACTGGAAGTTCAGTCTCACCTGGCAAGTACACAAGCAACATTTCTCTTGGAGTTCCCAAGAGGACTCCCACAGCCTATTGCTCAGGGTGCTCACATGGGAGCCTACCCAGCCTTCTGGACAGGAGCCTGGTCACGCTACCAGCCCTCTCCGAGTGGGCAATGGCAAGCGTGGTGTCTTTAGAAAAAGATCGTTCAGAGCAGTGTCTAGAGACAAATTCTGGGGCTGTGTGAGGACATGGCTGCCTCCTTCCTGTTCTATGAAAAAGAGTAGAGCTTGTGAGCTTTGTGAATATCCATGACACCTAACCAAGCCCAGCTTAATCAACCGCTGCTGGTCCATGAAGTCTGGGCCAAGAGGCACACTGAGAAGCACGACAAGCCAGAGAATGAGGCAAGGCAGAGATGCCCACCGCTCTCCTGGAAAGTGCTTCTCTTTGAGTGTGTACCAATTACTTCTCTCTAGGTGTCTAAATGCTCTCTTTCCTTTTCACTGGTATTTCCATACTGACTGAACTCAGCTCAACTCTCCCGCAAAATGAGTGAAGACACACGTAAGAACACAATGAGACTTTACAGAAACCTTTAGAAAAACAAAGGACCAGAGGAGACAATGTTAGAAGAAGATATAAAAATCATCTATTTCCAGAATTGTTCCTTTTAGCCATTCCTCTCTATTACTCCGTTCATCTTCCTTTTCTTTTTTTTCCTGGAATCTCAAATAACTTCTATTTTGTTAATACATATGGCTTTTATTTTGTTGATAAACAGCTATAAGGTTGGAAGTCTGTCTGCAGCAGTCAGTTAGGTTCTTGGCAAAGTAGCCTGAGTCAACAAACAAAACCCTAGGATGGCTCCGTAACTGGAATGTACCCTAAAGGGTCCACGCTGTGAGCCGCAGAGCTTTGAGAGTTTCTGGCTGCCCTTCACCAGAAGAACAGAAAGCTAAAGAAAATTTATCCTTCTCAGTAGTCACGTAGTAAAAGCCCCTCTGATTAAATCGACACTGGATTTATTAACACATTTATACTCTACAGGCTGGTGGAGATGCTTCAGGACACTGTTTTATTCTGAACAATACAGCCCCTGGATCAAGGTGCTGTAAGTCTAAGATGTCCATTAAGGAAAACTTTGAAAACAAAAGAGTTTGTATACGTTCTCTCTTTTCAATGACAAGTAGTTAAACGTCAGGCAAGGTCACCTGAAAATGTTGTGAAAAATGCTTTTTCACAAATGATGTTCAAATATTTAACTTATGGGATGTGTGTGTGCGTTTAAGAGAAACATCAAGGATCTCAGTATAGGGGCCGGCCTCGTGGCTGAGTGATTAAGCTTGCATGCTCTGCTTTGGCGGCCCAGGGTTTGGCTGGTTCGGATCCTGGGCGCGGACCTAGCCCCGCTCGTCAGGCCATGCTGAGGCGGCATCCTACATAGCACAGCCAGAACGACATACAACTAGAATACACAACTGTGTACCGGGGGACTTTGGAGAAAAGAAGAAAAAACAACCAAGATTGGCAACAGATGTTAGCTCAGGTGCCAATCTTTAAAAACAAAAAGAATTCAGGCTTAAATATCATCAAAAAAAATCTCAGTATAGTCATGCAAATATTAGTTTTTGTCAGTGGCCCTAAGAACAGACTTGCTTAGGCAATAACTAAAATGTTGGCTGCCTCTGGAAAACCAACATCCTTCTTAGTAATAATGAGTCTGGTGTTGAAAAGACTGGAGGGAGGATGCTTGTCAAGCTAAGACTAAAGCCTGAAAGAAGAAAGAATGAGATGCTACAGTTGAAGCTGAAACTGTAAATTCCAAGTTAACAATTTTAGTTAAAAAGCTTTGGGTTACAATCATCTTTGGAAAAAACAAAGACAATATTTTGAAATATCTGTTTGAAGGACTTTTAGATACAAATTTAGGTAGAGAACCTGTTTCATACTATAGTCATTTATCATTATTCAAAATATCATTTCCATAATTTGCTATATATATTTTTATATTATAGTAGGTTATGAAATCTACCCAGAATGTCTCTGTATGCTGTGAAGATGCTCTGTATCTAGTATTTTTCATTATAGATTCTTTCATCACAACACATGAAAGAGGGAAAGCATTTTCAAAATTTTAAAAGTAAGCCACCTGGAGTTGTAGGACTAGCTTCTGAATATAGCATATAAAGGCAGCAGCTCTCAGAATGTAGCTTTACTGCTTTTGATTAACCAGACTTATCTCCAGATCCCACAAAGAAGCTGCAGTCCATTGGGTAATAAGTCATGATAAATACATACTGTTCAATCGGAGTCTCACTTTTGTTGAAAAATAAAAAGCAAAGTCCAAGAAAAAATTCCCAGGCTGCTCTGGCAAGTGGAAACACTAGAGGGAGTTGTGAGCACACATTCCTGTAAAACTCATCCCTGATAGCATTTTTCCATCTGATCTCAACTTGGGTTAACCAAGGAAAGAGGGGAACTCGGCTGTAACTGGCCCCAGGATCACTGCTATCAAAACACACTACCTTCTGTACTTGACTAGTTCCCAAAACAGGTCATGACTCAAACCAGCCAAGGAACAGTATGATTGTAAAAAGGGCCACAAATTGCTCCCCTCCATCTATGTCCACACTTACTCTTCTCCTACATTTACTCTAGGCCTAGCTATTTGACTCCATTTGGTCAATGGGGCATCAATCAACCAATGTGAGGTGAGGAGACGTGGAAAGTGCTTGGGCAGTGCAACTTCCCTCTCTCTGGCTGCTTTTGGGGATCCTGTATCCACCATTATGTACATGAAGTCCAGGCTAGCCCAATGGATGCTGAAAGGCACATGGCTAAGTCTTATCTGTTATCCCAGATGACAATGAGCCAACTACCAGGCATGTGAGTGAAGCCATACTGGATCATCAAGCCCTCATTGTGCCAGCCCAGATCAGAAGAACCACTCAGTTGATCCACAGAATTGACTGACACCCCTAACTTTTCGGGTAGTTTGTTATTCAGCAAAAGCTAACTGATATGTCTAGTAATCCTACAGTCTGTACAACCCATCTAGGCAATGACCTTGACAGAAGACTATGATGTTGACAGCCAGATGGAAAGACCTTTCCACCTACAGAAACCCAACCTATGCCACAAAGACCAGGTCCCACTCAAATGCCATATCTTTCATTAAACCTTTGTGATTTCCAGCCTTCAGTGGAGCATGTCCTCAGGCTCAGTTTATTCTTTTTTGACCAACATTCTTGTGATGTGTGTCTTTACATCACAAGGCTCTCAAAAGCAGAGACTGACATCTGTGTGTCATTCTTATGTTTACTGTAATGTCAGTAAAAAAAAACCGTTCAACTCAACTGAACATTCATAATTTTTAAAAGACCTTTCAACTTTTCTGTATGTTTGGAAGCTTTTGTAATAAAAATTTGGGGTGTGTGAAATAAATCTATTTTTCACTTACTGACTCAATACTACACTATAAACACCATGACCTCAGAGTCTATGTCGGGCTCACCACTCAATTCCAAGCACTTATAACAGCGCCTGGTGCACAGTAGCTACTCAACAAATAGTAGTAAAATGAACAAAAGCTGGGATTAAAATGAAAAGAGAGCTCAAGAAAATTCAGAAGAAAATCAAACATACATCATTAGATGAACTCCTGTTTCAAAGTCGTTCATTTGCTCCAAAGGGGGAGAATGAAATGATCAAAAGAGGTGCTGTGGCTGAAGTCCCACAATCACCCCTACACACAAATGACTGGGGTCATGAGTGTGCTCTGTCCCTCCCTCACACACCCCGACCCCCGTGTGTGGCCACCTGTGCTCCCACCAGGTGAAGTGCATGGTTACCAGGAATCAATCTGTCTGTTCCCAGGCCTGTTAAGTTAATGCTCAGAGGATTTGTAGCTCTACTTAATTAAATATTATGTGGTGAATAAAATTTATAAAGAAAGAGTTCTCTGTCTCCAGGTGAACTAGGTCAAATGCTTTGGAAAGTGAGTTGTTAAAAAACTACTGTTAAGTAGAAGAAACAACTATTAGAACTGGAAAAGGCTTACCTGGAAGGAAAGACTGCTTCACAAGGATCTTTAAATCTCACTGCCCTCGAAAAAGACTGAGAATGGAAATCATGGACACTGGGCGATGCATGTGTTTTACGGAAGAAGGACAAGGACTCAGAGGACAATACACAAAGTAAAGGCCTTGGCCTCACCCCAAGAGTATGGTCAAGGAAAATACATTAATAGGTTGTAAATTAAGACAAAAAGTGAAAGCTATGTTTACACAATTTTTAACTGACATTTTTATTGACCAGTATCTGGTCGTGATTGCCAGGAGTAAAATGTCTGCTTTCGGATCAAAGGGAGAGAGTTTACGATTCAAATGTCGTCACTCGAAGAGCCACTGACCTTCGGAATGGTGGGAATCCACAGAGAAGGATGTACGTGATCACGCCTGCTGCCCAAATGTCCACCTTCAGGCCATAGCTGGGAAAACAAAGTGGGTGAGAGCAGGAGAAATAATAGTACAACTCCCAGGAACCCTCCAGTGTACTGGAGTACGGCCTTTGTCAGGAAAAAGAGTCTTTCAGTGTCAAACTGATCACTTCATGTAGAGGAAAAGGCATCTGCTTTTCTCCCAACCTAACCATTATCTTGGGGACTAATGCCATATTCCCAAGACTGGCCTTGGGACAAAAATCCAGGCCTAGGGTTCTTGGACATGGACATACAACCTGGAGTTGCTGAGATCAAAGTCATGATGCAGGTAGCAGCCTCTCTCGCCCTCCACCTTCCCAGGAACAGACCGCAGCAGTGGCAACAAAATACACATTTTCTCACCAAAGTTAAAGCACTAACCAAAACCACCCAGAGTCTTACCCAGTTTCAGCAATGATTTCTGGAGCCACGTAAGTTGGTGTGCCACAGACTGTGTACAAAGGACCTTCCACCACAGTGGCCAGCCCAAAGTCTCCCAGTTTCAAAGACTTGGTGCCATCGGGATATTCACACACCTGGAACAGAAGCCAGCCAATCATCAGAAGGCTTTCTTTTTCCCTCAATGATTGCAAAAGGGCCTTTCAAATTAGGCAGAAATGACACAGATAGATTCACTAACAAACCCAAAGGAAATCTCTCCTTGTGATACTAACACCATGATTTATCTTTGTTGCTTTAAAGCTCTAATTTTTCTCTTCAGAGATTTTGCATGATTATGTGAAATCTGAAAAAGACAATATTTTCTACCTTTGCAGAAAGTTCCTTACTTAGGAGTACAATGAACATGTCTGCACACTTAGGGGAGTAGGCGGCTGCTTCTGATGTGGTTCCTGTGTGTGAGGCACTTGACGGCTTCAGAAATGGTGTTTATTAAGTGTCCACTAAAGCACTAGGTGCTTTCCAAGACGCTTGCATGTTTAGTTGAGAAAATAAAATTAGGACTTGTTCTCTGGACAGTCAATGATGAATATAAATATTACACAGCAAAAAACCTTGGAAGTTTAGAAAGAAAAGGAACTTTAGGATCAGACAGCCTGAACTTGAATAACCAACCATTCCACTCGTTTTCTGATTGCATGACTCTGCAAGCGTATAACCCAAAGGTTATACACAAGGATGCCAACCTCAGAACTTACCTATGTTCTTAAAACTGAAAGCAACATAAATGGCTAACAGGATAAAGACTTAACAAATCATGGTACATCCCTATAATAAAATACTATACAGTCACTACTAAGCACTTTTCAAATAAATATTAATCATACGGAAAACAATCACTAGATTACAGAAAATAAAAAGGAATATTCAAAATTATATATATACAATATAATACACCAAAATGTTAAGTTTGTTTCTAGGTGGTAGCTTTAAGGATTACTTTAACTTTCTTCTTTATGCTTTTGAGTGGTTTCCAAAATATTTATAACGAACATGTATTGGTTCCATAATTAGGAAAAATTAATTTTATACATAAGCAAACTTTCCTTATGGGATAAAAGTCTGAAAGTTACATTCTAAATGGATGGTTCTGGAAACATCTAGTGTGTATGACAGCATTCTTTAGATTTGACTGTGTAATCTTTAATGTGCTTGTCTATTCATCTCTTGGATATTCATTTTGAAAACACTGAATTTCAGAGAATAACTGCAGACACCTAATCTGTACTCACGTAATATCTTTCTCTTTTTTTATATTTTAAACACATTTGGTTTGCTTTTTCTTATATTTTACTAGGAACTGAACCAGATTTTCACCTAAAATACTACTTACTAAAGGAGGAGAAAAATTTAGAAAATCACGTTTTTTTCAAGATAAACATGCTAACGACATCATCCATTAGTCTGATACTTAATGAGGGGGAGTGATTTATATAGTCATCAATAAAAAACATCAAGAACACAGGTCTCCCCAGTGCCAAGATCCCCAAACTTCACATAGGCATTTTTAAAAGGATGACTCAGAAATACTTTACCTGTGATGTCCTCACCAGTTTAAGAATGTTTTTCCCCTTAGTATTTTAATGACTGCTTCCATGTTTATGTACTAAATACACATACTCAGTACACATCCTTACAACTTTCAAGTTTCACAGGATTAGCAGTGAGGATTTTGAGTCCCTCACAGATATTTATCATTCTGAGTCAGCCTACAAATCAGCAGATGCATATTCAAAGCTACTAATGATTTAGCCTAAGGCAACAGAAACCAGATTCTTAGTCATGCCATGGTCTCAGGACGACTTTCCATCTGTTATATAATGTAAACATTAATGAGAACAATCCAATATAGAGAATTACAGTTAGAATTTATGATGCATTCACTGAAACCCAGACTTTAGAAAGAAATTCTCTAAGTAATTGCAGTGATAAGAACATTATAATTCTAAGTGTCTGTATCATGAAAGTAAAATAAAATTTTATTAATGTCATTGTTATTTTGTTTTTACAACTATAAAATACACTCATTAGGTACATTTTTTGGAGAATAGTGTTTATTTTAGACATCCAATTTAGGGATGCCTAGGGGTATTTAAGGGTTGTCGTCAGACACTCAGAAGTCCCAGAGTCATTTTTCACATCCCCTCTAAGGAATTCAAAGTCAGACGCAGGGGCATAAATAGAAAGGACTGAATAGTCTATATTTGCTGAATTATGTCTGGGCAAGTGGTACTCCTTGGCTAAACATCAAAAGGGAAGTGTCATAAGGGGCAGACAAGCCTGAAATAATATTTTATCTGATTCATCTCTCCCCAAAGCCAGACACAGAGGCAACTATGTGAAAGATAATATGAGTAAATTTCAAATCTTAGCTGGAGATTCTCTTCAAAGCAGGAAAAACATATCTATAAGTCTACACACACACACACACACACACACACACACACATTTACAATATTGCTGTAAGAGGCTGTCACACACACATGGCCTTGCTTTAAGAGACTGATTTTAAGGAAGAAGTGAATAAACACAGAGGGACTCGAAAGGCCCTCTGTTCTGGCAGAGTTCAGTTCTCCCCTGTAACTGACATTCTCACAGGACTTTGGAGATGTCAATATTCTCCTGAACATTATCTCATTGGACTTCTATAGTCATTCCTCTGGGCAATTAGGAAGAGAACTGTTATCTCCACTTTACAGTTGAGGAAACTGAGGCACGGAGAACTCAAGTTGCTGGTAGGTGGCCAAATGGGGATTCCGACCAAGACCATTACCGTCCCACCACACCATCCTGTGAAAGACTGTGTCTGTCGGAAAACAAAGCAAGCGAGCAGATCTGGCAGAACCCTGACTGCAGCCTGCACCCGCATGCACATTCTGAGAGGATTTAAACAATCACAACTGTGAGAACTCCAGCCCTGCGGTGTTCAAAAGCCCCACCACAAGCTGAGAGACGCTTCTGTCAAAAGTTGCTCTCAGATTGCAAAAGTAAAAAAATGTGAGGAATGCAGATCCCACATACAAAGTGAACGCTGCATGTTCTCTAAATAAAATGTCAACATAATGATTTAGAAGGACTTCAAATATGAGAAACCAACCCTCTTCTCTCCCCTGTCCCCAGCACTCCTGGAAAAGCAGAATTTATCACTGGTCGCTCATAGTTAACTCCGACAGGGCACCACCAGCCTGTAACTCACAGCATTAACGGCCGCCCCTGTGCTCCCTGACACGGCGACCCATACATCTCTGCTGGCAGAGTCTTAAATTACAACACTGCTACCAGAGAAGGGGATGCAAATCAGATGTCTGCATGCTCTGGCGTTTAAAAACTGAATTTGCTTCTAGAGTAGGAAGAGGCTGACAGTCACTCTGAGATATTTACTTTTAGTGCCTCGATGGCACTTTCTCATCCTAGGCCAATGTCAACCTGCTGACTAAATCTAGAATCTGCTGAGTGGTTGGTCTAGTTAGATTTTCAATGGCAGACACATATTTTACTTAGATATGTGCAGCTAAGGGTTTCTGAAGCCTGACCCCACGGCCTTTCTATTTCACACATTAGCCTCATCCAGACATCAGTTTTATCATCTTCTTCATTCTCCTCCCCTTTGGGTAGCACAATGGGGTTGGAGCAGGTCTTGGAGAAGGGGTGAACACTTATCTAGGGCAGGTTAGATAGATGAGGAACTTGATTCCAATTTGCTGGTTACATTCTGAGACATATCATGTTGGAGACATCAATCTTGATTACGGTATCTTTCCTTGATGCATAACCAGAAAAAAGGAGGAAGAATCGGATTCTGAGATTTTACATACATTAAGAAGTTGTGAATGGAAAAGAAAAGAAATGGAAGGCGAGAGTGGAATCAGTGAGCTGGGAAATGGACACTCTCTGGTTTACAGAAAAGTTCACTAATGTTGCAGTCACCTTCCTCACAGGGCCTTCACAATCAGAGCTGCAGTACGGGCTGCCTCCACAGTAACCAGTGGTTCTCGGGGACCTGTGGCTCCTTTATCTACAGAGAACGTCAGTAACTGCAGCTACTGGGGTGAGGTGGGCCATGGAAAGCCGGGAGAAATCAAGGGGGCATCCTCATTAACACCACAGTATTTGTGTCTGGCTACACCCAGGAAGGGCCTGTCACCTTTGCTTGTGAAGCCCCTGGCCAAACTCTGATGGTGGAGGGGCCTGGGTCTGATAGACACTGACTGAGGGGTCACCATGGGTGATAAGACTGTTTTGAGGAGAGAACAGCATCCCGAGGCCCAATTTACAACTCTGTCTCCATTCCTCTATTGAGTTCATAAAACCAAGTCCATAACACATCTTGTTTTAAAGGGCAGGGATATTTATTTTCCTAATAGGAACATAGAGAAATGTAACATAACTCCCTCAAGGAAGAAGAAGATAAGAGAAAAACTCACATAGTTTTAAACAGATGTTCAGAAATCATCAAATGGTATTACCAAAAGGGGAAAACAGATATTGTGGATTAGCAGAAAGTCCCCAGGATGGCCTCAACGCTATCCATCAATGTGTATTTCTTTCAACAATTGTTTGTATAATGTAAGCATGAGGCAGGTATAAAGAGTTGTGTTCAAGTGCCAGCTGCTGGCTAGCTGAGTGACTGTCAGTGGTCAATCACCAACCATTTACTCCACATCCACTGTGTACTTACTTGACACTGTCCAAGGCACTGGGGATTTAAAGATAACTGAGACACAAACCTTGCCCCTAATGGTGCCTACAACCTAGAGAAGGAGACAGATAAATAAATGATAACATCACCACAACATGGCAAGTACAGCAGAAACCAAGGTGGCCATGACTGACTCTGCCCAGGGAGTCTGGGGTGACGTCAAAGAAGATACGCCTTTTGCTCAATGTCTTACAAGATGAATGTGTTCGCCACATTGCTGTGAGAGAGGACGCTGCAAATGGAGACCATTTGGACATAAGCAATGAGGTGTACTACTGTTGATAAAGTCAAGTCATAATAACTACTAGAGATGGGACTGTGTTTGGATTAACATGACACAGAAGACTCAGATAACTTCCCTTCCCAAGCAGTAATGATGATGATACTCAGCCCCAGAGGGTGGAAACAGAGAAGCCACTCTCTTGTGTATGTTTGTGTGTGTCTGCAGAACTCCCAAATCAGCTTCTCTAAAATTCCTCTACAATGTAGACATGAGGACTGGCCCACTTAGCAAGCTATGTTTAGTTATTAAGGCCACCATGAAAGTGTGTTAAACACAGCTTGAAGGTGAGTGCCTCTTCGGCCAGATGGGTGGGGAAGGGTTAGTAACAGGAGAGAAGGCCGTAACCTGGGACCAGATTATGAAGCTTTCTGAGCGCCAAAGTAGAATAAGACTTCCTTCTGTAGAACAATGGGACAAATGAAACTTTAAAGCAAGAAAAATTAGCATCTCTGGGTCTCAATTTCCAGATCTGTAAAGATGAGATGAATGGACTAGATTATTTCAAAGTTCTCTGTCCTGTACTTAAATGAATCCTTATGTTCTACTTCTGTCTCCTATAAACATCGAAAATTCTGTCTTCAATTTATTCTTCAGAATTTTTTGCCTTACAATTTTTCTGCTCACCTTTCTTCAGTCAGTACCATTAATCAAAATGTAAATGAAAACATGTTTTCTAATATCTGGTAAACAATAAAAGTCAGCCCTGGTGGTCTATTGGTTAAGATTCGGTGCTCTCACCATCCCGGTCTGAGTTCATTTCCCGTCATGGAACCATGCCACCTGCCTGTCAGTTGTCATACTATGGCAGCTGTGTGTTGCTATGATGCTGAAAGCTATGTCATTGATATTTCAAATATCAGCCGGGTCACCCATGTGGACAAGTTTTTATAGAGCTTCCAGACTAAGACTAGGAAGAGGACCTGGCCACCTAGTTCCAAAAAAAAAAAAAAAAAATTGACCATGAAAACCCTCTGAATTGCAGTGGAGCATCATCTGATAGTGTGCTAGAAGGTGAGAGGATGGCGCAAAAAAACCAGGCAGGGTTCCACTCTATCGTACACAGCGTCACTAGGAGTTGGAATCGACTCAAAAGCACTAACAACAACAACAAAATAAATGCAGAAATTCAGATGAATTAAAAAATCCATTAATATTTTATGGCCATGGATTTGAGTCATGCTGATTTTCTAACTTTAAATTCTCTCAGCCTGTATTGCAGGATTGGCGTAGACTCTAAAATGTCATTGTTTGCGTATAATCATGATCATTTTAAAGGAAGAGAGGCATGAGTTGGAGCAGGAAAAGCAGAGATGACATACCAAGAGGTTCTCTGGCTTGATGTCTCTGTGCACAATGCTGAGGCCATGGAGATACCTGAGGGCATTGGCCAGGTTGTACACCATGGCGCTGCCGTCTCTCTCAGTGTACTTGGTGGAAGAGGTAATTGCATCAAAGAGATCTCCCCCCTAAAGGACACATAAAAGAACATACCAAAACATCAACAGTGACAATCCTGTGAAGGTAATAAAGAAGGTTCATTGCCCTGCAGTAGATGAAAAAATGACACAAGTGCCAGTAAAATTGATGATTATAAATAATGAAAGTTTCAAGGGAGCAAAACACTTTTCCAATTAGGTCCTTCAAGAATATGGGAAGTCTTAGGATTTAGCACCACTGAAATCTCTCCATCCTCTTACTTTGACCAATTCCATCACCAGAAAGAGCTCAGTAGCTGTTTCCATCTCCTCAACCAGCATGATGATATTTGGATGTTTCACTCGGCGCAGTATTGACACTTCATTCTCAATCAGGTGCTCCTGTCAAACAAAGGGTTTAGAGAGAGGGATCAGAAACCACAGAACCCTCTGCTTTATCCCTATGTTCTGGAGGACAAGACAGTCTGTAAATCTGATGCCAAAAGAAGCATCTCCCTTGGCACAGAGACAAACCAAACCCTAACCTAGTTGGTTTCCATAGGGACAGGACAAGTCAGTGTAACATTTCATTGTCACTAACAAAAAGAAATAGATATCCCTCAAAAGTGCTCAGTGGCACCACCCTGGCAATATAAAAACATACTGCCTTCTTGTCTCTTCGTTACTTCCAACACCTTTTAAGAGGTTTGATGCTAGGAAAGCGTGGGCACACGGCACTGTGCTTTGTAACTCAGCTGGAACCACTTTTTAATTTCAGTATATACTCAGAAATAAAGACTAGGCATATAAGAAAATGTGGCATGCAACTTGGGCATTAAAATTTTTTTTTATTTTTAAACTATTCCTAATATGAATTTGAATTTAATGTTGAAATTCATGAAAAATAAACTTTGTTCCTCTATGACTAGGAATGAAATAACTCACTAGAAGGATGTTCCTTATCTTTTTGTATTTCAGAAGTCAGGAAACATACAGTACCATGGGAACCACTGTTCTCATTTTAACTCTAATCACTTCTCCTCTGAAAACACCAGCTGATAACCGGCCCCGGCGAGTCATGCAGTTGGGATCCGCACCGCAGGGAAATGTTTACGCACAGCATCAAGGAATTATTCTTAACACACCACCCATGAATCACGAACAACTACTGCTCTGTTTTAGTCTGAGACATGAAAACCTCTCAGTAATGTCACATTTGTTGATCCTCATTAACTAGAATAATGAATTATTTTGAATTTAAGGCATGCTCTGTAAAATTAACTAACTGCCCACGGATACATTCTAGGTATTCAAATATAGCTTTTGTATAAAACCTTATAAGAGATATCATTTGCTACCTAAAAACACATATATGTATATATCCATATATATATATATGCGTGTGTGTGTATATCTCCCATATTGTCCCTTTTGTCTTTGCCATCATGAATCTCAGAACTAAACTTAGCACTCCACTGCAGCAGTAAGATTATCTTATCTCTAGTTTGAGACCCCATTTATGGTTCCTCTCTTATCTTTATGCATCCATGTGTACGTGTATTTTTACCCTAAGTCACCTCAAATACTTTCTGACAATAGATGAAGTATATATTATAACAAATGAATAAATAACATCCAGAGAAAATCTGTTGTAAGCTCCTGCACATGACAGGCCATGTTTCTTGAGCACTGAATACACTGTGCTTGTCCAAGTAGTCACTTGATAATTACATTGGCAAATAGTGCGAATGCTAAACAGAAGGGAAAGAAAAGAACCAACATTTACCACACATCTAGTCAGTATTTGTCAGTCTCTGTGCAAAGTACTTGTGTAATGTCTTAATACTTTATTCTTAGAACAGTGCTTTGAGGGGGAATGCAAACCTAGATTTCTGACACCCAAGCCCACATTTTGTGTCCTATACAACATCATCACAGAGCAGCAGCACAAAGCAGCAGATAGCGCTCTGAGCCCTCCCAGGGGAAGCAGGTGCACAGCCAGCCCCTTGTGGTCACAGAGACAAACACTCCACATTTGTATGCTTATTTCGAAGGCTTTGAATCATCTGTACCAAGCTTGTCCTTACTCACACTAACAAGCAGAGTTCGATGTACTTTTGTGAAGGTGTAAAGGTGAGCAAATTATTTCTATGTGAAGCCATGACGACAGCAGTTATCACTACTGCAGCAAAATAAGCATTTTGTTTTGTAGCTAAATGGATCTATCACTTCAGTTCTCCTCCTCCTCCCCATTGCCTCCCAAGTTGGAAGAGTCTATAAATTTGCCTCTACTCTGGGGCTCTGTTTGTGATACTAATTTAGAGGACATGATCCTCACCACCTTAGAACTCTCAGATTGGAGTTAAAATAAGACGTCTACCAACCAAGGAGACTACAACTTCGAAAAGTCACCTTTTTCAATAAAAGGCACAACAGAAAGTCTTCCGGAATGCATTGTGGGACTTCCTTCAGGACCACCCGCAGTGTTACATTTCAAATACTGAGCGAGGAGTGCAGCAACGTTTTCTCCATCATCATTTATTATTTCAACTTACTGTATTCTACTTGACAATGGCTAGAATTCTACGCACATAGTGAGTGTTTTTGTTGGGATGTGAGCTGTTAGCCTTTGTTCCCCAACCTCCGACTATGCCTGTAAACTATGAAGGAACAATCCACTATTGAAACTAATCATCATCAGAAGCAAAACAAAAGTAGCGCATAAAAATCTCTACAAATGTTATCCCTATTTCTTATGCAACTCATATGTAATCCTTGTTTCTAATAGGTAAAAATACTCTCAGATTACATTTTCCAGGAAAATATTTCTAAATACAATATGCACATCACTTTTGTCTTGAACCACAGTGAACTTACATCAATCATCTACCATTATTTATGTTAAGTGATTCACGATTCTAACTCCAAATAATTTACATATGAATCATTCCATGGCGGTGTTCCATGGCTCTGTAGGAGAGTAAATGACAAAGAAAACTGCTAACTTGGCAAAGGATACAGCCTTATCTTTGGCCACAGTGGTTTTTAAATGCACAAAAAAGAGAGAGAAATGGATTAGAGAATAAACAACTCTCCCAAACCAAACATCTTGTCTCCACTCTTCCCAGCCCTGCAAAAAAGTCCTCTGTCTCAGTACATTCAGTGAGACATGAACCTCGCTGCCCAAAGCAGACGGGGATTCCCCAACCTCCACCTTCCCTCATCCTCCAGTACGGTCGATCAGTCACCAATGCCTCTGATCCACCCATTCACTCCTACCCCTATGGCCAGTCTCCCATCTAGACAGCTAGGCATTTGCACAGGTAGTTTTCTCTGTCTGGAATGAACTTTTCCCACTTCTTGGTGCACTCTTATGCATTCCTCAAGACCAGATTAGATCTCACCTCCTCTAAACAGCCTCCCCTGCTCAACCACGGCTGGGTTAGGCACCTCTCTTATTTGTTCTCAATGCCCCCTGTGCTTACTCCAATCACAGCTCTCACTCTGCTGTCATGGAGGTTTTTGTTTACTTTCCTCTCCAGCGACTAGCATAGTTAGTTCTGAAGTGCACAAGTGAATGAATAAACACATCATGTATTGCGCTTGGCCAGTATCTATATTGCTTAGTGAGTATTGCTGAGGATAATTCAGTAAGAGAGAGAAGATGCTTAAATGACTATCTGTGATTTCTGTGGTAGATATCTCAAATTCCAATCTCTGGAACTTGTAAATATTACCTTATTTGGAAAAGGGGTCTTTGCAGATGTGACTAAGGATTTTGCAATGAAGAGAGAACTCTGGATTATCCAGGTGCCATCATAATTGTCCTCATAAGATAGAGGCAGAGGGAGATTTCAGAGACAGAAACAGAAAAATAAACACACAGAAAAGAAAGCGATGCAAAGATGGAGGCAGAGATTGGAGTGATGTGGCCACAAGCCAAGGAATACCAGAAGCCACCAGAAGCTATTTAGAGTCAAGGAACAGATTCTCCCCGACAGCCTCCAGAGCGAGGGTGGATTTCAGACTTCTGGCCTCCAGAACTGTGAGAGAATAAATTACTGTTGCTGTAAACCCCCCAAGTCTGTGGTTATCCCAACAGCCTCAGGAAACTAATACAACGTACATTTGGATTGACGTCTTGCCTGGGCCTATAACGCATAGATAATGAACGCAAAGCTGGGAAGAGAAGAAAGGATCACTTCTAAGCACCATAAGAGAAAGTTCAGAGATTCGTACACTAGGAATTCAATAAATATTTACCTAGAATGAATATTATTTAGAATATTAGACATGGAAGAACTCTTAAGTTTACAAACACCATAGGCTTCTCAACAGCCTCCATAAATCTGGCCCCAAGGCAGATGTTGCAATAATCTCCTACTTAGAAGAACCCAAAATGCTTTCCATCCTTTGGGCCTTTGCTCAGACTGTGCTGGCCACCTGGAAGCCTTGTCTTTCATTGCTGCCTACTGAAATCCAACCCACTGCTCGAGGTCCAGCTCAAATGCTTCTTGCTCTGTAGTGTCTTCACTAATCACCTACTTCCCTCTCGTATGCTTCCTCCAAACTCCCACAACGCTCTGCAGAACTGATATTAATTTATATGTTAAATTACCCTATTCCTAGCACAGTATCTTGCACATGTATCAAACTTTAGGTAAATGAGTAAATTAATCTAATAATGCTCATGTATATTACAAAAAAGCAAACAGAAGGCCAGAAAGGTTAAGAATTTTTTCCCAGGTTCTTCTATTACATGAACAAATGAATAAACTGAACCTGGAGAGGGAGTGGAGTAGATTGGCCAATGTACAGGCTGGGTAACCAACTAGCCCAAAGTTCCAATCACTGCTCTGCCTCTGTGTGGCTTTTGGGAAGCTACTTGATTTGAATCTCGGTAAAACTAGTACATCTGTTTTACAACTCATTAAAGGTAATGTGCAAAGTTCCTGCATGTCCAAGCACAGATAGATAATACATTTTAATAAACAGCAGACATCTTCAGCATTATTAACTTTCTGTGTACAACCCACAAAGCACAGGCAACCGACAATATCCCAGAATAGTGGCCGAATGCTTTCCCTGCTAGTTTGTTTTAAAAGACAAATTCTATCCCATTTTTTTCTAAAAATAAAATTTAATGGGAAAATCAACTAATTTGGAACAAATCAAGCTTTAAAATTATTATTTTATATAGTCAATGTGGAAATAGTTGTTCAAATAAGCAAAATGTAAGGATGGAAATAAATATATGGTCATTAATTATAAAAATAAAATGACATTCAATAACAAGGAAAAACAAGATCCAAATGTTTGATCTAGTAATTTGCCTCAACATTTAGTACACCAGACTGAATTTTTTTCCACATAAAGATCTTTTTTTCAACTACTGAGACACCTGACTAAATTTTAATCAGCTAGGGCCGGCCTGGTGGCACAGAGGTTAAGTTCACACGTTCTGCTTTGGCGGCCCGGGGTTCACTGGTTCACATCCTGGGTGCAGACCTATGCATCACTGATCAAGCCATGCTGTTGGCAGTCACCCCACGTAAAAAGTAGAGGAAGATGGGCATGGATGCTAGCTCAGGGCCAGTCTTCCTTAGCAAAAAAGAGGAGTGTTGGTGGCAGATGTTAGCTCAGGGCTAATCTTCCTCAAAAAAAAAAAAAAATTTAATCAAGTAAACAATATCCCTACCACAGCAATTTTTTTTAATTTTTTGAAAAAATACTTTAATACTGTTGTTTAGAACTTGGCTCCCAAAATTACGACACATTCTGCTTAAATCACCCAATATCAGACAAAGCAAAACTTACTGATATATGGGGGAAAGGCTTTGCAGTAGAAAAATTTAATGATATTGATAGAACAAAAAGCAAAAGCACATAGAATTATTTAAAGAAAATTAAATTTAGAAAAACCTTATTTATTCAAAGAAAAAGGGGGCATTTTGCACAGTCTCTGCTTCGTTAGTTGTCACAATGTGGTAAAAAAAGTATATGACAAATTTGCCTCTTGGATTTTCCATTCCACGGCTCTGAGAAGATTTTTCTAAAACTTTGCCATAATAAAATTATTTTGTTTTCTGTTAAAAATATATAACTTTGTAAATGTCCAGTGAAGACTAGTTTAGGGGTTCCATAAATATAAAATCACCACTATCACATCAAATCCTAATTATAAATTCTGAATTCCTCTTGCATATTAATAATGTTAACATTTAACATGTGTTAAATTCTTATTATATACTGATACTTTTCTACATGCTTTCCATGCCTTAATACAACTAACCCTCAGAATAACCTTATGTCTTAGATATTATTAATAACCACATTTTAGAGGGAGAAAGAGTGGCACCGAGTGGTTAAGAAATTTTCCCAAGGTCACACAGCAAAAAGAAGCAGAGCCAGGACTAAACTTTATACAATCTGGCAGTAGAGCAACATCGTTCAACAGAAATGTAATGTGACCCACACATGTAAATCTAAATTTTCTAACAGCCACAATAAAAAATGTAAAAAGCAGCAGGTAAAATTAATAACATAACTTATTGAACCCAACGTATACACAATATTATCATTTCAACATGCAATCAAATACAAAAGACATTAATGAGGTACCTTACATTCTTTTTTCAGTACTAAGTCTTCAAAATCTGTTGTGCATTTTACACTTACAGTACATTTCAATTCAGACTAGCCACACTTCAAGTGCGCATTAGCCACATGCGGTTCGCAGCTCCTGTGTCGGACAGCGGGTTCTACAGCCTGCTCTCTTAACTGCTCTGCTCCCAGAAAGGAATCTAAAAAGGTCTCTGTCATCACTGTTACAGAATATCTACCTTTTCAAACAGTCAACATATCAGTACTCTAGCAGCATTTCATCATTTGATCTTTCTCCAGCCCCGGCCTGAGAGTGGGACAGAAGAAGAAAATTCATCTTGTTGGGGAGAAATTCTTCATGCATCAGCTTCTGTTATAAGGATATTTATATAGCAAAGACCCTGGGAACATAGAGATAGGGTCTTCCTCAGGGAAAGAGGGCAGATTTGTTTCCTGATCATGATAATAAAAATAATGTTCTCCTCTGGGGCAAAGGTCAACAGATTTGCTAGCAGCCCCCTAATAAGATTGGGGTTTACTAAGCTTGGGGAGCCTCAGCTGTGACACAAACCCATGGTGTGGACAGCAACCCGCAAGCCTCTGCATCGCTTCTGTGGGACTTGGAAGTCAAGGGGGACCAATGCAAACACGGAGCTCAAGCTACTTGCTGTGCCACAAATGATAAAGTCTTTTGTCTCTGACCCAGGAATCTTGTGTCTTCTGCCAGCATCTATAAAGCTGGAAGGCTAACTAGTTAGTTTGAAAGTAGGATACAGTGTCAGACTCCTCACAGTTCTTGACACATCTTTTGAGTGCTGCTGGTTTTGAAATAGGTATCTCCCTGAGAAGAGAACTTATATTTTCTATAGCTTGGACCAAGATCAACTCAATTTATGGTTTAGGATTAAAGTTTTTCAAAAATGGCAGGGAAAAAAAAAAAACTCGATGGTGTTTCCCCCATTATTATCAGTGGTCTATTCCCATTATGGTCTTGTCAAATCCCTATTTAAACTCCTTCTCCACAGTAAACATCTCACCAAGTTTTTTCAGTTTCTTTTACAAAGCAGTTATGTATACTGTACCTTTCCACAACATTTGGCTTTGTCTATAATCTTTAGGGCAAACTCCTTTCCAGTGGACCTATGGAATAATCAGAAGAAGGCCATTTAAAGACATAAATCAAAGACACCATCAATCCTGATTTCCTCTACAGCACAGACTCAGGGAGGAAAGAGTGGGTTCCTGCTCTGTACAGCAGAGACAATGCTGAGTGGAATCAGGGAGACAGGTACCCAAAAAAGAAAAAACAATTCAAAGGCTCACTGTCAATCTCCTTTTATAAATATCAATAATTATAACATTATTAAATATCTCACATATCAAAAGTACTTAAAATCTGTTGTATCAGAGATGGACAAGAAACTGTTTTTCCATACTTAAATCTCAAAAGAGTTCTCTTAGGAGGCAGAATAAAATTAAGAAAAATGAATCAAAGTAACTAAAAAGTTTCTATTATCAATATATATCTTTACATTAATCCATTAGTCACTAATTAGTCCATTATTCAAAACTGAAAAGTCCCTAGATTTCCAATATCTATTTCTCAGCCAAGACTTCATCTGGTGCCATGTTATCCATACCTTTAAATGCCCATATCTGCTGGCAGAGAGATCATCTACTTGGACACAAGAATCTTGATGTTACTTAACTTTGAACCATCTTTAACATAATTTAACCTGAACATGCCAAAAAAATATCTTTTAGCATAGGAAAACAGTTCATCAGGGAATAGGACAGTATTCCTGGAATGCATTAGTTCTCTCAAGTTCAGCTGCTTCTGCCATGAGGTCACAGTACACTCTGATGAGGCCTACCTTGGAAGAATAACTTTTATTTAAATTGCTTTCCCGTAGCATAAACCAAACCCTGCCTCAGATTTCCAACAAGTCCTTAGAAGTCATATTTTAGATGCTCAATTACCTGAGTGGCAATTTGTGCACCAGAGCCAGGTAGAAGGGCTCAGAGGACAAGGAGTTACGTCGTGCCCCAATACAAGGACCACTAAAGCTTCACTGGAGATGCGGCAAATGGAAAAACTGTAGTTACCAGAACTTTCCAGAAAATTCCCCACAAACAATAAAACTCACCCCTTCGAACAGGGAGGATATCGGCCTAGAAAAACAAAGACTCTAATCTGAGTCTTTTCCAGTTTCAATATTGTTTACAAAAAGCCTAGAACTTAAAAGAATGGATTTCTTACCATTGAGGATATTAAACAAAATAAAGCTGAAGAAGCAAAAACATAATTTTCATACAGGCAAAATTGGGCTGATTCTGATCTTAAATAGAGCCAGAAGTCATGTATCCTAACTACTAGTATATGCAATTAAATATTAACTTAGAGGGCTACCATGGGCATTAAATGAGTTAACACAAGCACAGCACTGAGAACAGTGCCTGGCACAGGTAAGCACTATCGGAGATTTCTTTTTAATGAGTCTTCTTCTTTCCCATTCCTCTCTGCTTCATGGATGAGACCTGAAATATCTCTCGGCCCAAATGCATACAAAGCAGGTTTATACTCTTTGTGTATGTATATATTTTTCCCTGTCAAATTGTCTGTGGGCATGAAAAACAGCTGGTCCCAAAGGCAGACTCTTTCAGGAAGGGGGGAAAAAGAGACTTCCCTGGAAGGTCTTTTGTTTATTCAGATAAGAATAAACTCCAAGGGAGAAATGGACGCATAGATGAACAAATAATTATCCTCACTATCCACTCACCTGTCCATGCACTCTTTGACTACGGCAAAATTGCCATCACCAATAACCTTCCCAATTTTGTATTTCTCAAGAAGAGTTGATGATTCAGAGCACCTGTTTCCATTCACACCTGCAAAAAAGGATAAATGCAAAGTCTAAGGAACACGTCAGCATTTCATCTGGATGCCTACATAACTGTAAAACAATAAATTGCAATGCATTTATTTCTAAATCTATGGTGAAACTAAAGAGAATCTCTGAGCATATCTTCTGAATAGAACATCTGAATCACCAGTTTCCTTTTGACCTTGTTGGTTGGAATCAGAAACCCACATAATCAATATACCTAACAAATCTCTGAAATATCAGCTGAAAGAGGTAAAAGGAAGTCTAACTACAACGTTGTAAATTTTTTTGTCAACTTTTGAGATGCTGATGGGGATTTAATGTTAGAAATTTTCTCAAGACTTTTTCTCAGGGTTTTCTAATAAAGAAAATTCTAGCCAGCTAGGATGCCATGTTAAGGCTAATTCTCAGCTCAACGTCTTCTCAAAAAGGAGAACCAGGAGGAGGAAGTGGTAAAGTTCAACTACTTTTCACAATGTATTCCCAGTACCCAGCACACAGCACACATCAAATAAAGAAACATGCTTTTGTTAACTACTTGAGAGAAAAGAAAGTCTACATTTAGGAACTGTGAGCAGATTGCCATTAAGGAAGAATAAAAGAAGCCCAAGTCTAAAACTTAAAATTAGGATAGCTTAATTAACAACAAGGAGATTTTATATACCTTGAAGTGACTCCCACCCACTAAGGCTAAACAGACTAATTGGTAACATGATCACATCCCTGTTCAGGAAGATCATAATTTAGCACAAGTGGTTTTGGGTGGCCAAGTTCACATGGATGACTTCCTTTGTAAAAGTAATCATCAGATGGAGGACTACCTTCAGGACTCATGCAACGATCAAGTTCAGGTCCACCATTTACATTGGAAGAAGATCTGCCCTGTGCAGAAATCTGCTGAAAGAGGAGAGTGACCATTATTTATCAGGACAAATTTACACATCTTTAGCAGCTAATCCTTAGATAACAGAAAAGAAAATGCTTACATAACATAAAAATGTAATGATACAGAAGGAGGGGAAGCATTCCCTTTCTTCTGGTCTCACCTCTCTCCCTATACACATCACATTAACGTATTTCTTCCTTAGATACAATATTTGCAACTCAGATTAGATATCAGGAAATTGGCAGTGTGTTACTCTCTTTGATACTGTGTTACTTTTGACCTCAATGAAACAAAGTAAAGGAGACTTTCACGGCATCATAGCTGAACAAGGTACTTATTAGTGGCAAAATAAGGCTTAGAAGTACAGATAATTTCAAGAAACGTCAGCACTGAGTCTCCAGATCCCACAGCCAACCCTGTGGCTGACTTCAGGAGGTCCCTGCCAGGGTGAAGCCCTTCTCAGAACTGCAGTCCCACGCCCAGGACTGCATCGCCTTCGACATCTTCCTGGATTCCAGATCCCGAGTGCCCCCTGACCCAACCCTCTTCTTTACTGACCCCAAGACAGCAGGAATTCTTCTTACACACTCTAAGAATTTTTACTACCAGCAACCAGAGGGAAATGAAAGATAAAACTAAAAGGCAGGTTCCAATTCAACAAAGCTGAAGTTCTCAGCCTAACACAAAAATATCCCTAGTTCTTAGGTGAATTGAAAAACCCATATTATGAATATTATTCATATTGTTATTATTCCACAGGTTTAGGGAACTTTTTCTTAATCCCTAAGGGCTCTTAGCCTTTGAACTCAAACTTTTCTCTCTGATCTTTAATTTTCTATTTTTTAAATGTTTTTATTATTCCTTTCAGGAGCTTACAAGGTCAAAGGACTTACCACATATTGAAAAGCACCTTTGACAATTTTTGTACTAGCGTGCTTACACATTTGCTTCTATGCTTAAGCTATCCTGGTAGCTCCAGCCTCATAATGCTGTGCCTTATTCATTACTGTATCCCCCACATGCAGCACAGCACTGGAACACACAGTACTCAATTCACGCTTGATAAATGAAAGCATAGATGACACAGGTCCAGGGCAGGAAACGGCCCTTCCCGGAGTGCCCACAAGTTGGAGACACTGAGTCCACTCTCTTCCTCTGGGTGAAATGGAGAACCTCACAGATGCTGAGTTTGGTTCAAAACCCAGGAAAGCCGAATACTTATAAACATTCCTTCAAAGAGAATCATCCAGAAGTTCTTCTGGAATAAAATATGAGCTTCAAGAATAAAAAGCCATGTAAAAATTGGGCTGTTTTCTCAGATCCCATGTAACCACCGCTCGTGTGGACAGTGAAACCATCAGCAGTGTGTCCTGTTAGGAAACCCAACGCCAGGGAAAAGCAGGGCTGAGATGCCCTGAATCAGCTCCTGTCCTGAATGGCAAACAGCCTTCTCATAAGTTTTTGTCTCCTTCCCTCAGGCAGGGCGAGTAGCTGTGTGGGAGTACGGGTGCGTGTGTGGGTCCCTCTCTGGACACCCTTCACATGATGGAAACGCTGCATTAGGCTAAACACCTGGCCCTTCGGAATCAATCATTTTGCTTCCTCATAATACAAGGTGGACAATCAAAGCTTTTCAAAATTTAGCATTTTCATTTGTTTCGTCATTTCATTCTTTTGTCACTGAAATCAAAGCCAACTCCAAAATCAGTAGAATTCTATGCTAGACTGTTTAAAACCAAGGCCCAGAGAGGGGACTTAAGGGTAAGTCGAAAAGAAAACCGCAACACTCTCTACTCTGTTCCGTTTCCATAGCTACCACCCAGTCCCGGTCCTCCTTAGGCTGCTCTCCTCGCACCTCATCAGAGGCTTCCTTAGTTACTCTCAGTCTCGCCCACCCCACTCATCACTGCCAGAGAAACTTTTCCTAAGGATAGCTCTGATACCAACCCTAGGATCTAAAAACTTTAGTGGGTCTTCGTGACCAATAGGATAACCCGAAAATCTCAGCACGACATTCAGACCATGATTTGTCCTACCTAGCTACCTGCCCATTTTGTTTCCCACCACTTTTTTTCATGCATTTTATAGTTATATTGACTCAACTTTTTTCAAAGTTGTTTAAACTTTGCAAGTCAATTTTCTTTTTGTTTTTTTCCAAGTCAATTTTCTGCTCTGAAAATAGGGAGCAGTGTCTAGCTCAAAGGTTTGCTAGAGAATTAAAATTAGCTCATACATGTAAAATCATTTAGCACAGTCACTGACAGGTAACACTAACTCAATAACAGTTATTAGCATCCTTCCTTAAAACATCTAGCACAGAGCCTTGAAAGGAGTGACTGGGAAACGTTTTTGAATTGTTCAATGTACAATGGCTCTAAGAGATCTTTTGCTAAATAATTCATTCCAAGTCTATTTCTCTTCTAATCCAACCTTCCTAGACTGAAAATTGTCAGTCCCGGAAATAAGAGATCCAAATTAAATTCATATCAGCAAATTCTCATGGAAGAAAGATAACAAGAATGTCATTTTTTGGAAAGTTATATCTCAAAAGACAAATGGAAAGATCCCTTTTGATCACTGCTTGCCCCTAGATTACAGAGATAGGGGAAGTGGACTGTCAATGCCTGAGTGACAGTGGGCAGTGACCAGCTTACTTGTATGTCTAAATCTCACAGCCCAGAATGAGGCAGCCCCACACTCTCAGGCCACAGCTGGCTAGTCAGGCTTGGGCACTGGCCAGGAACCACCTCCCCTCCCAACACTCATTGCCTAGGGAAAGTGTGCAGTGCAGGCCCCACATCTGCTGCTGAGGTCCTAAGACCTGCCTTGTCCCCACCCTCCCCAGGCGTGCCTGCTTGGCTTTCTTGGAATCAGATAACATTCTTCTAACAAGTCCCTTTCTTGAGCTAATTTGAGTAAGTTTTAATTCACTGCAAGCTGATGTGTTCCATCTGAATCAAGGGCTCTAAGAAGGAAGTCTCAGAGGGGGCTAAAACACCGGCATTTTTACCTCCTTGTACATTTTCACATGGATGGGTGACTCCCCGGAGTGTTTATTAATTGAGTTCCTGTGAACCAGCATAACTCCCCAATGTTTATTTTGATTAAACCCCCACTCCCACCTATCCTGATTCCCTGTACTGTCCAGCAATTACAAGCCTGGTTTGTGTTGGAATTCAGAGGCAGCAAGGAGCAGGTAGGGGAAGCTGGTTTCCTGACAATGAAGAGAGAGCGGCAACTGAGCTGAAGCCTTGAGCCTCAGAGGAGGTGGCACCTCGGGGAGAGGGTGAGGGCGTAGGGCGCAGGGCCAAGTGAAGAGGCACCTTCACATGTACCTGACGAAGGTCTCACTAAATCACCAGGAAATGCAGCTTTCTTAGCAAACAATGATGGCAAGAAGAACATATTTCAACTCTCGAATCAAATGATTTTTTTAAAGTGGTAAACCTTAAACACTAAAAAAAAATTTAAAAACCTATATGGAGTTAACAGGAATGACTTATCTAATTAACTATCCAAATATGTTCCCTTTTGAAAATAAAGCTTTCATGAAGAAAATGAAAACATGAAAAAATAAGGGGAATCACTTTATTATAGCACAACTGAATAGACATGGTCATGATTAGACACAGGAATAATTTTCCTTTCCTGCCTCAGCAACAACCTGTGCTGGATTTTTAAAGGATAAAAAGATGAAGAGACACGGTCATTACCACCCAGAAGTTGACAATCTTATGAGGCAGCATATGTGTACACTTAAAACCCTTCTGAGAAACCTCTATATTCCAGGATATGCTTTCTAAGGTTGTGATGGTTACAAACGACTCTGAAGATGTGTGAGAGGGAGCCATTTTTTGCTGAGGCACGAATCTGTGCTTGTAATGCTTGAATCACACAGCTAGTCATTATGTTCACTTGACCTCCCAGTAATGAAACTTGGTGCTCCAAGGGTACAAGAAAAGCTGGGTATTCACAAGCTCTCTGGACAGATCCCTGGAAAATGTGAAGCGTCTACTGTGAAATATAAAGCAAAGCATCTCAGAGCCCTGACAGACAAAGAGCAATGAAAACATAGGATATAGCTATGACTCTACAAAATTCTCATCATTTCCCAGGCACGATTTATGGATTTCCCTGTCCCTTGTAAGAGAATAACTCTCTTACTGAGTTGCTCCAGAGAGATTAAAATATGGCATTCCGGATTAGACCTGTCCCATTTCTATTGTCAAACTAACAATTTTTATCAATATCTTTTAAAATGCTAATGAGCATTCATGCTTCCATCAGCAACTAGGATGCTGAGACAGCACAAAGAAAGTGCCTAGATGCTGCAATGTTAGCGAGATCCTCCTCAATAAAACATAAATGGATGGCAACATCTGGACTCTTTCAAGATATCTTCCATAATTACTACCTGATTCAAAAAGACGCGATTAGGTTTAGGGGTGGGGAGAAGAGGGGAACTATTTCCTGATGAGGTCCTGGTTGGTCAAGGAGGGAAGGTGACAGAAAAGACTGCAGAGATATTGCTGACTACATTTTCTATGCATCGCCGCTCCACCTACCTACTTCTCTGGCAGGAGCTCCATTTTTATGAGGAAGCAAGGAAGGGAAATGTACAAGAATCTGCTTCTGCTAAGAACTTTAAAAAAAATACTTGAAAACAGAGCAGATAAAGCTGTAAAGTGTTCTCAACTGCCAGCATCATTTAAAAAAGGCATTCATGGCTGATTGAGTACATACGGTGTACTCAATTATGGCTGATAATGAGTAACATTCCAGCTTTCTACATTTTTAGCCAGGGAGTTAAGTCAGAGCGTCCTACTTTAAATTTCCTTGATAAGTGAATTATTACAACTTCTACAAAACTTAAGATTTAAAGAGAAATGTTAAGTACTACTCTAAAAATGTGAAGTTTTGTTCAGAAATAGGCAATTCTCAAAAAAAGTAGCAGAAATGGCTATATCGATGCATTATAGCATATGACTATTGACTTTTGAGTATAATGCTG